ACCGGGCAGGATTCCTGCAGCTATGGCCCCCCCGGTCCTTCGCCTCGCTAACGCCAGGAGGGGTCAGGGATTGAGGGATGGGGATGGCAACCAGCCCTTGGATCCTACTGCAGGTCTCCAAAGAGCCATCGCTCGCCGGCTGTCGCTACCGAAAGGGATGGAGTGAAAGCCAGTGATGCTGCCACATGCAGCTCAACTCCCTCCTCGTCTCCTTAGCCAAATGTTCCTCATCCAAACCACAATCACGCCTCATCCCCTTCCAGAACACAGGCAGAGTCACCCTGAAACGCAAAATTCCCAAATGCTGCTTTCTGCCACCTCTTAAAACCAGCACAAATTCCAAACCCTCCGGCAGCACCGACCCACGGTGTTCCCTTTGCCATTCGCATGTGCAGACCCCAAATAAATCAAGGCTGCAAACAAGGTCAGCGTTTGCTGGATGAGTTGTGTTACCTTCCTTCTCCCAGGCGTATCACCCAAGCGCAAGACAGACTTATTTAGCAATAACCGAGCGCCCAGGAATTCTCCCCTTTGCTTAGCTACAGTGAAACAGCAGCACCTCCTCGGTCTATGCACCCGCTGAGCTCGTAGATATGGGAACGGACCATGGAGCACCCCTTGGAGCATCCACCGTCACGGGAGAGTGGGTGAAGAAAGAAATATGTGGGCAAATAATGAAGCAAAGGCCCAAAAGGGAAGGGCACGAGGAATCTAGGAGAGAGAGCCCCCGAGCAAGCGTGAGCTGAGAGGCACAGCAGGCAGGAAGGAGCTAGAAAAGAAAGAGCAAATATACCCAAAGCTCTCAGTGCGACAGCGAACTCCAGAGGTGACATCAGGAGGGGGTAGATTGGGGATGGAGTCCATCTGAAGGAAATAAGAGGAGGTGGTGTGATGATAATAGACAGGGTGGACATGGCAAGCAGGAGCAGGAGTGGTGGTGGCGGAGGAGGAGCAAGAGGTGAAAGAGGTGGCGGTGGTGGTGGCAGCAGATGATAGGTTGGTGCCGGGCAGGTCGGAACTGAAAGACTGTCCGGAGGAGAGGCTGTGCATTCGACGGAGAGAGACTCTGCCCGCCCGGTAGTGGGCAGGTTGGCCCGATTCATTCTGGCCTTGCACATAACTCTCTACCAACCTCTGAGATCCGTGGCCATGCTGGGGGTCCACCAGGCGCTGGCGAACGGTGCTGGGCAAGGCAGGAGCTGCAACGAGAGAAAGGGGAGAACGCTGAAGGCAAGAACGTCACGGCAGCGGGGACGCAGTGCAATCAAGCTGCCACCCACGGCTCCGCACCGCGCCTTTGTCACCGGGACGCGTGCTCGGGCGCTGCAGCCAGCTCACCCGGTGCTGTGGGTTATTCTGGTCTAATGCAGAAGCACAAAGCCGGCGCTGCTGCTGAACATGCTGGATTAATGCCCAGCCCGTGAGAAACGGGTGTGACAGATGTCCTTTCTGAACACCTTATCTGAGCATCTGGCTCGAGGCAGAAACCGTCTGCGTGACTCATCCCACCCCAGCTCACAGCAGCAGCAGCGCTACCACCCGGGCTCCCATCTGCGGAGGGAGAAGTTGGTACTTTCAGGGATGAGTCATTCCATCCTAACGCAGCATACACCTGAATCATTCAGATGCTTCACCCCCGGGCAGTACCATTTCCCTCCCCAGCCTGAAAAAGGATCCTGCAGTGACGGGTTCAGGCGAGTCCCGCTGCCGGAGCATCGCTCTGCCCCTGCATCCAGCATCCTCCTGCTGGGGCAGCTCCTGGAGCCGAGCAGCGGGACCGAAAGCTGCAAAACACACCCATGCTTTGTGTTCAGGTGCGGGGAAAATGCTCTGAAGATGCAGAAACCTCCCAGCCTCGTGTCCCTCTGCAGGGCAGGAGGGCTGGGACACGGACATTTGTCACAGTCCATGCCTGGAAGGAGAGCTCTGCTCCGCGAGTGGCATCGTCTGCTCCCAGTCTGGCTCATAGTGAGCTCACTGATCCAAGAGACACTCTAGTGGAAAATATTTTTCTCTAATTGCAAATTCATCTTGGTTTGGAGAAAATAACAGGACTGTCTCCTTCAGTGTGCTGTCACCAGCTCATTAAGAGCTTTTAACGACTGTAACGATCTTTCTGGGCACGCAGCCGCAGCTGGCAGGGAACAGAGGCCAGAGAGCTCAGTCAGGCCAGGGGGTCACCTCCGGAGGGGCAGGGGAGGCACCGTCACCCCCCCGGGCATTGCTGCACCCGCATCCACCTCGGAGCATCACCCACGGAAACTCCGGCCGCTCGGGGCTGGCGGTGTTCAGCCCACCAGCTGGAATCCCCGACAAGATGTTCCTTCTTTTCAGGAGATAAGGTGTTCAGGAGTGTTCAGGATTTCTTATAAGCATAAAAAATAAATGTAAAGAAAATGGTTAAAAAGGTGAAGAGAGAGGAAAGCTAAGAAATGGAGTGGAAGGAGAGCTCCTTCGGGAATCGAAGAACCAGCAAATCGCTGCTATGAAAACAGACCGCTCGGGACACGAGACCCGGCAGCTCGCCCACTGCTCGGGAGCCGAGGCATCGCTGCTGGGACACAGTCCGAGCGGAAGAAGGAACAAGCACGAATAATTCCAGCAACTTTGCTGTTTCTACATCCCCAGGGTCCATCCCAGATTCTCTCACCGGGTCCCAGCGCTCGGCTGGAGCTCCCCACACCATCCACTCTCCATTTCCAGATTTTTTTTTTCTCTTAAGAGCTCCAGAGCTGGAATTAAGTGAAATTGAGTCACACGGAGGCAAAGTGGAAAAAAATCCCTTGCTGCGGTGGGGGCTGGAAAGCAAAACCCATCACTGGAGGTGACGGGGAGAGTGTTACTGGGCAGAACTGGAGCCCGATCCAGCTCTCCCGCTGGGACTGTGCGGCAGCAGGGCTGCCAACGCCGGCAGCAGGGACGGGAACAGCACAGCTCATCCCTCCGGGACACAGCTCCGGAGCCCCAGTCTGGGGCTAACGGGGATCCAGGCTCTGCAGAAGGATTAACTGGGGGTTAGGGGTTCCTGCTACAGGTTTCTCTTGGGCCATGCTTTTTCCCCTTAAGGGTTTGTTTGTTTTTTTTCCCCTGGTGTCCCTGATTTACCAGCTCGACCCCCTGTGCTCTCCTTTTCCACGACTCCCCTGCGATAAGCACAGGAGCAGCCCAGCCCCAGCAGACCCTTGCTCCCCACCAGCATCGTCTCCCTCCGGACACCGCAGGTGTCTCATCAGGGGACAGATCAGTGTCACGGGTGGCATTGCTCAATTTCCTGGAGGATGCCGAGGGAAGGCACGGCAATGGCAGCAGCCCCCCCGGGGAGGGTGGGGGTCTGCCTCAGGTGGCAGCGGAGGGGCTGCGAGCAAAGCCCGTGCGGGGACAGAGGTGGGATGGGGAAGGGAACGTCATCGTCACCTCCTCCTGGATCCTGAATCCCTTCATCTCCACCTCAGGGCTAACAACGAGTGAAGACAACCCTCCAGATTTCATAACGGGATTTTTTTTTTTTGAAAAAGCAAAACCCAAGAGCGCGTGAGAACGACAGCGAACTGCGATTCTTCTTCATCCCACCAGACTCTTCCCGGGGGTTAGTAAAAGATGCCGATGGCTCAGTGAAGAGAGGGACGCTCATTAGTTTTCCGTGCCAGAAAGTTGGAAAAATTGGTGTATGTATTTTAGTCCAGAAAAAGGGCAGAGGGCAGAATAAAAAATTAAAATATAATTGAAGAGAACCAAACCAGGGTATTTCCAGAGGGACTGATCCTCCGAGGACAGAGACGAGCGGTCACTGAACCTGCGCCCGAAAAGCCAGGCGGCGTCTGGGATGGGCCAGGCGGGGTGAAGGGAGAGAGAAAAACGGGATTTACTGGGAGAACCACCACGGGCAGTCAGCAACATCCCCCGCACAGCCAGAGAGGAAAAACTCTGCGCTTCTCCCCAAAGAAAGGAAAATCCTGAAAATCCATGGAGCGATTGCCCGCAGGGACGCAGAGCAGCGCCGTGGGCAGGCTGGCTGCCCACCATCGGAACCTCTGCAAGTGCAAAATCCCACTCGAGGTGTCTCGAGCGAGGCACAGAGCAGCTGAGGGTTAAGATCTCGGATGAAGGCTCGTGCCTTATCCAGCTCAGGTCCTCTGAGTGCATTGCTCGGGGACCTCAGACGTCCCTCGCACATCGTCCCTCGCACATCGATACCCGGCTGATGCCCCTGCCAGTGTTTTACTGGAGCCGTCTCTCACGGTTTCTCACGGTAACGGACCCTCTCAGAGGCTGGGAAGCAGGACACCGTTATCTGTGTGATGCTTTAAGCTTTCCCTGCACACACCAACCCCACAAACCCCCAGCTCGCAGATACCCCGCTCCTCCTGCCCGAGCATCCCGCAGGCCACCCAAACCCTCGGTGCTCTGCCTTCCTCGCTCCATCGCCCTGAGCCCCACCTCCAGACCTTCCCAGCACCTAACTAGCACCTGAGAGCACGCGGGACGATGGTGATGGCACGTACAGGCACCTCCTGCCGCGCACGCTGCCAGCCCCGAGGCTTTTCGGTTCCTCCATCCCTCCTCCTGCTCGGTTCAATAGGGCTTTTGCTAGGAAGTGACCCACATGGGACACACCCAGGAATATCGCAGCAGCTATCGCTGTCA